TCTTCTTCTTCTTCTTCTTCTTCTTCTTCTTCTTCTTCTTCTTCTTCTTCCTCCTCCTCCTCCTCCTCCTACACCACCAGCACCACCACCATCACCTCCTCCTCCTCCTTTCTACAACCCCTTCCTTTGTTGTGTTCCTTAGCTGGGTCATGAAATGTTTCCAAGAAAACCACTAAACTCAGAGACCACCAAGGACCCCACAGTTCAACACTGAACTGCTAAATCTTCTTCTTTATTGGTATTTTGCAGCCAGCCTGCTCAGGACCCTTTGTGGACTTACAAAGCCCCTGCCTTCCCTCCTGGAGGCCTTTCACCCCTTCCTGCACCCTCCACCAGCCCCCTCCCCACTATTGGGGTGGGGGAGGCGGGATCCCCGCAGGGGGGAAGAAAGTTGGTAAGCATGAGAAAATTGCTCTGCGCAGCACCTGCCATTACCTGTGCAGTCCAAATCCCTGGTCTTAGCGATGGCTTCGGAGTTCTGCTGGGAGGAAGCCAGCTCTTCTCAGGGTTTAGCTCTTCCCAGACAGGGCAGGAGGGGGGGAGGTGGAAAACTGGTGTGTGTGTGTGTGTGTGTGTGTGTGTGTGTGTGTGTGTGTGCTGTACGAAGGCAAAGCCCCAGGGGAGGGGCAGGGGGCTGGAGTGGGCCTGTTTCCAGGTGGTCCTGGACTTGCAACCATTTGTTTAGCAGCCGTTTGAAGTTGCAAAGTCAATGAAAAAAGTGAGTTACCGGCAGGCAGTCCTCGCACATACAACCGTTGTACCCCCTCGCGTAGTCACATGATCAACATTCAGGCGCTGGATAACTGGCATGTTTCAAAAATGGCAGCATCCTGGGGTCGTGTGGTCACCCTTTGTGACCTTCTCAGCCAGGGTCCATGCCCAAAGAGGGACTAGAACTCCCAGTCTCCATGTGATTGGCCCAAAGTCACCCAGTTGGCTTTCATAGCTAAGACGGGACTAGAACTCCAAGACTCCTGATGATTGGCCCAAAGTCACCCAGCCGGCTTTCATGCCCAAGGTGGGACTAGAACTCCAAGACTCCTGATGATTGGCCCAAAGTCACTCAGACGGCTTTCATGCCCAAGGTGGGACTAGAACTCCCAGTCTCCATGTGATTGGCCCAAAGTCACCCAGTTGGCTTTCATAGCTAAGGCGGGACTAGAACTCCAAGACTCCTGATGATTGGCCCAAAGTCACCCAGCCGGCTTTCATGCCCAAGGCGGGACTAGAACTCCAAGACTCCTGATGATTGGCCCAAAGTCACCCAGCCGGCTTTCATGCCCAAGGTGGGACTAGAACTCCCAGTCTCCTGGTGATTGGCCCAAAGTCACCCAGTCAGCTTTCATGGCTGAGGTGGGACTAGAACTCCCAGTCTCCTGGTGATTGGCCCAAAGTCACCCAGTTGGCTTTCATGCCCAAGGCGGGACTAGAACTCCAAGACTCCTGATGATTGGCCCAAAGTCACCCAGCCGGCTTTCATGCCCAAGGCGGGACCAGAACTCCCAGTCTCCTGGTGATTGGCCCAAAGTCACCCAGTCAGCTTTCATGTCTAAGGGTGGACATCATGGCAATCTCAAGATGGTGGCTGTGCCAGTCAACCCAAGCACGGCTTGATTTTTAGGGCCCCAGGTTGAGGGGCAGCCACACCAGCAGGGCAGCCCTCTTGGCTTTTTCTGGCCTATCCCAGGGACAGCTTGGAACTGGTCTCGTGATCTCTGCCAGGCTCTTTCCTTGCCATCGTTGGAGGAAGAGTCCTTGCAGGGTGAGAAGGCGAGGCCCAGCAAAGGGAATGTCGGAACACTGACTCAGCAGCTTCTCCTTGGAGGTGCAAGTAAAAACAAAGTCTAATCTTGTGCGCTGTGTGTCTCTCAGCCGTGGGCATGGAGCTGATATCGGTAGAAATGGCCCGTATCTCGCCTCACAATCGGGAGGCTATGAGTTTGATCCTAGGCAGAGGCAGATATTTCCCTCTCTGCAATGAAAATATTATCTGCGGAATAAAAGTCCGTATTGGCAACAGGAAGGGCATCTGGCCAGTAAACACTCAGCTCCATTCAGTTGCCCAGACTCCAACCCGCAAAGGATTATGGGGTCCTTAAACGAAGGTGATCTCTGATCGGCCCCATTTGCTAAGGCCGTTACACCAGGGGTAAAACCCGGCTCTCCAGAGAATAGAACAGAACAGAACAGAATTCTTTATTGGCCAAGTGTGGTTGGACACACAAGGAATTTGTCTTGGTGCAAATGCTCTCAGTGTACATAAAAAAAGGATACATTCGTCAAGAGTCAAGAATTATAAGGTGCAACACTTCATAATAGTCATAGGATACAATAAGCAATCAAATCAAACTAGGAAATGGTCAATATAAATAGTAAGGATACAAGCGACAAAGTTACAGTCACAAGTAGGAAGAGAGGGGTGATAAGGAGTGATGTGAATAGAATAGAATAGAATAGAATAGAATAGAATAGAATAGAATAGA